TTCCTTGTCCATTACACATGCATTATTCATATAGCAGTATATATTTTTTGGCACAATCAATGCGGCCGTGTTACTGCCCAGTGCCCGATATTTGAATATTGTCTTTTATGAATTAATACACCTGCACAATACCTATATAGAATTTTGTTGTTTAGATTTTAATGCCCATTCTTTTCTTGGTTTACTTAAACGAAATTGCACTCTTGCAGGGAAGCATGTCAAACCGGTGGGGGAACAGGTGCTTGTCTCTGGAAGAATTTACTCGTTGGCTTCACTTGTGATACCTCCAATAGACTTAATGCTATTGTTTTGTTGTATATTTTAAATGTTGTACAGTGGAGCTCATCATTTATGATAGCACTCTGTCTTGCCACATCTATATCAAGTTTTAACGTTCTTGGTTGCAATCAATGAGAGGGAACTTGTCAATGGTTAGTTCTACAATAGGGAACTCCAAAAGAGTCTTGATGACTGTTGGTGTGGTAATCTTTTGATGTTACCCCTTGACCCATAAAAATTACTTTCCCAGATAAAGGAAAGGAAAATAAAATAAAATAAACAAGCCGAAGGAAGAAGACATTGGCCCTGTTTGGTACAGCTTTTTTTCAGTTTATTTCAGCTTTATTTCAGCTATTTTGATGTGTTTGGTTTAGCTTAACAATGTAGCTTATAGCTTTTTGTAAGTCAGAAATCAACTTATTCTTTGAGTGGGGCCGGAGAAGCTTAATTTATAAGTCATTAATCAGCTTATGTTCATAGTTATAAGCTATAAGCTGTTAAAGCATAAGCTATAAGCATTTTCCTACAGCTCTACCAAACAGGGCCATTATATGAAAAAAATTCTTTCATTTTTTAAAAATTGTTGTATGTTATTTTATCTCACTGTGGGTGTGCAACTTTTCTCCCAATAGTAGGAACACTTGACAACATGGGATTGGAGATGTTGATGAATATGTTTGGGGGTCTTGGGATTGGAAGCCCTGCCGTTTCTGTCAGATCAGATGGTGACTATTATTTCCTTTTCCCTTATGCCCTACTGATTTATGCTTTGTCATCTACTCACAGTTTATGCCTTGTTTTTTTAGTGCCCCCGGAAGAACTGTATGCCACTCAGCTCTCACAGCTACAAGAAATGGGCTTCTTTGATACCCGAGAGAATATACAGGCACTAATAGCCACTGCAGGGAATGTTCATGCTGCAGTGGAGCGGCTTTTGGGGAACCCCGGTCAGTAGATTGTGATTATTGTTATTATTCTATTCAACATGACATATATCATCAATCGTGGACCGTTGTAATCGGTTTTGGACACTCCGGAGGCATTTTCAAATCTTATTTTAGCTATGAATAAGTACATATTATGATAGAACTGTGAACTTCTTGACATTAGGGTATTGGTGTGGGAATACTCTTTTTCCTATCCCCCACCCCCTTCTATATATATGAAAAGAAAAAAGACCGAGATTGCAATACTTGAGTATTATGTACATACACTTTTTATGACCTGTGTCTCATAAATTGTTTAGTTATTACATCATTTTCCCAATTCCTTTTTGGGTAATTATACTCTTTTCTTTACTCTCCACTGGATGGAGAAAATTCTGCAATTATATTTCAGCCCAATATGTATTATTTTAGCTTTGCTACATTTCATTCTCCAGATGCTCAGGTTTTTCTTGTGGAATTGGTGCTCCTCCTCAGTAATGGCTTTATTTATAGTTTTTTTTTTGGACTTGTGTGATCTGGTGTATGTGTGTGTATATATATATATATCCAGTTCAACTTTGAACTTGAGACAACTTAAGGAGTCCATGGGCTATCATAACTTCTGTTTTAATGATCCGAATTGTTCATTTTGTAACGCTCTCAGGCCATGTTTGTTTAGATGGACTAGATTAGATTGAATTAGCATTCAGTTATGCTAGTTCCCTTTATAACATGTGAGCATGACTGAAGCTACAGCCCTATCTGTTCTGACTTTAGCTGCTCTGGCTGCGGCTGGTACTGCAGCCTTGCTGTGTTGACCTGGCCTGGTCTTGCTGCAGCTGGGGTTGCAGTGGCTAGCTCTGGCTTATGCTCTATTTTGATATAATGTGTACCTGTCACATTTACATGTAGTGAGATTTGTTATTATACTTAATATAATAATTACTGAGAAATATATCATGCATCCATAATCATGTCATATCATCATTGTAAATTTTTTTCCCTACTCAGCACAACAAGTTGATATGTATATAATTTAGGTAAAAATAAAGTGGGTGGTGGATTCTCATCATTCATTGTGTTCATGCCAACAGGTATAAAATTATAATGGATGATTCATGTTTTTCTACTTCAAAATCTTCATTGACAGTGTGCCACAGTGTAATTTTGTTTCCCTTTCCTGCCCCCTTAGCAGCCCAATGCTATTATAACTTTAATATTCGAATCCATCATGATTTTTCGTGACTTTTTATGCTATTATAATTTTATGTCTATAGTTGTTAACTGGGTATTTTAGTTGTGGTTTCACTAATAGATAGCTTTTGCTAGAAAATTGAGTATCTTATCTTATCTGTTTCACTAATTGATTTGTGTGTCTTTCTCTTTGCAGCTAGCAGAAGCAGCAAAAGCACAATTTTCACGTGATTGCAGTGATAACCTCGCTCTTGTCTGGGCTTATGTCTGAAGTGAAGGAATAGTGAAAGATAAACTGAAACTGAAACAATAATTCAGCTTCTTTCCAGGCCTCATAAGCCCAGACAAGAGCGAGGTTATCACTGCAATCACGTGAAAATTGTGCTTTTGCTGCTTCTGCTAGCGGCAAAGAGAAAGAAAGAGACGTAACTGGATATGAATATTGTTGGAAGAATTTTCTTTTTGCTCAATCAATGAAAGCTATTGATGCTCTGTGAAGGGAGTTCTACTCTTCACTTAAGGAATATGTTTTAAATTTTAATGCTAAGTGGATGTGAATTGGATGATTATATAGATTACAAGTGGATTTTTAATTGAATGAATATGTAGTTTGGAATTACTTGTGGATGAAAATTTATAATAGTTGACTTTAATTAAACAAGTTCAGAGTTTGATGATTTATATAGTTTGTTGAATGTTCATGATTCAGGTGAATTGTTGGTTTGATTGATTATTGTAAATTATAGATTGTATTGAATAGATTGGATAGATTATTATGAATTACAGGTTTATTTTATTGCATGTTGGCGCAAACATTTCTTTTGGCAACCAAACTTTTTGGTCCTAGAATGTCACAATTAGCGACCAAAATTTTTGGTCATGGAATGTCACAATTGGCGACTAAACTTTTAGTCGTGGAATGTTATAATTGGCGACCAAACCTTTTGGTCATGGAATGCGACAATTGGCGATCAAATTTTTTGGTCGTGGAATGTGGCAATTGGCGACTAACATGTTTGGTCGGGAATATGTCACTTTTCGCGACTAAAGTGTTTTAGCGACTAAATGGATTAGTTGCAGTAATGATATATTTAGCGATCAAAAATTTAGTCGGCAAATTTAACTTTTTCCCGACTAACAAAAGTTTTGGTCGTTAATTACTTTTGCCGATCCTCAATTGGTGACCAAGGTGGCGACTAAAAAAATTGGTCGCGAATAGCCTTTGTCGACTAAAAATTGACTTTTGCCGACCAAATTTTTAGTTGCCAAAAATACAATTTCTTGTAGTGAATATTGCCGACCAATCTTTTTGGTCGTGGAATGTATTGCCGACCAAATTTTTTGGTCGCAGAATGTGACAATTGGCGACCAAATTTGTTGGCCGTGGAAATGGGCGACAATTGCCGACCAAACTATTTGGTCGTTGAATGTGCGAACTGGCGACTAACATGTTTAGTTGGGAAAATATGACTTTTCGCGACTAAAGTGTTTTAGCTACTAAATGGATTAGTCGCAGTAATTATATATTTAGCGACCAAAAATTTAGTCGGCAAATATTACTTTTTCGCGAGTAAAAAATTTTTTAGTTGCTAATTACTTTCTGCGACCCTCAATTGGCGACCAAAAAAATTAGTCGCGGATAACTTTTACCGACTAAAAATAGACTTTTGCCGACCAAATTTTTAGTCGACAAAAGTGTGAATTCTTGTAGTGCAAAGCCTTGCGGGATAAGGTTTCTCACCAGCACAAAGGATAGAGATTAGGTACAAGAGGCTTCACCTATTTATGGTGTAATCACCCCCTTTACCCTTCAAGTGCCACATCATCATTAATTTTTCCATTGACTTTTTTTTTTTTTTTAAGCAATGATTGGACCTCAACCCCACAAAATCTTCAAGATCCTTATAAATCTGAATCATTCATAATATGAACTTTACACATATATGAGTGGGCTCCACATACACATGAAAGGTCAGGATTATTTTGAGAGTGTGAGAGTCATCCCCAAAAGAAGTCTCAAACATTTTTCCTTCATTTTTTTTACTTTTCTGAGTATTATAATTACTAAATAAAGATAGCAACACATGAACTACTTAAAATTCTACTAACTTGTTACATAATAGTGGTACCTAAAAGTAATTTATTACTATATTTCTGTAGCAAAGTTGTTTTAACACAACGTATTTTATTTTATTTTATTTTTTTTGAAAAAAAAAATTATCAATTTTTTTTTTAAATATTTTTTATTATCAAATTTGAGTGTGTATTGTGTAGTTTTCATAGATAACGGACCATAAAGTTAAAAATAAAAAAGAATAATAAGAGGAAAGAAATAAAGGTGATAGAAGAACCTACCCAAATCTCTCAGAAAAATGAAAAAGAATTAGGTTGCTTTCAATGTATATATTTCTTGTAGATGGAACAAGTGTTACGACCAACTGAATTTAGTCTAACTTAAGTGCTATGCATTTCTTTTTTTATTTTTTTATTATTCAAATGTAAGAACAATCAATCTTAGTAATATTGTGTAACTTGCTGTCTTTGTCAAGTGGATCTTATGAGTTGAAATGTTAGTGTGTCAACAAAGAAAAGGAAAAGTGATAGTTAAATAAATAAATCACATTTGATAAATTCAAGGTTTTTCTTTCCTTAATTCTTAATTTCAGTGAGGACAAGGTAGTTAGTGGAGTGGAACAACTATGCCCTTTGCCAATAGATGTGTTAGTTAACTCAAATAAATTAATTAATTAACTAATCACAATTTTTTTCTCTTTTTGATCCGTAAAAGAAAATTTCATTGACAAAAATATAATGGTTATGAGATAATACATCAATAAAGAAGAGGCTCTAGGAGAACATGGTATGATAGCGCATCCCAACTAGCTTGGCACCCACTAAAAACCAACTCAAAAGGAACTCAAAGAAGAACAAGGAAGATGAAAAAAAGCACACTAGCAAAAACAAGGGAATGATGATCAAATCAACACCCTTCTTTTTGTCTTGATCAAACACATACATCTCTGATGTGGTGAATGAAATCATCAATGGAGATCATCTATGGGTGTTGATTTTTGACCTCACAACCAAATCAAATCTTCTCGCTAACATCCTACGAATTTAGCCGTAGAGCACACAGAAGAATAGAAAAACCCAACACCTATACACAAGAACACAACAAACACCAGTGGCTCATCTACCTAGGGGCACTCCGACGATTAAATCAGTCAACCTATCTCTCAAAGATAACAACTCAATCACGATACTCACAAAATAAAATGTACCTTAGACCTTATGGCGTTTCTGGTTCAGACACAACCCATTTGATGTTTTAGATCCGAGCTTCATTGTCATATATAGTTATCCATGTCTTGTTTCCCCTTATATCTCTTTGAGTTTAGCTTTTGGGATGTGTTGATTTCATTTCAAATAGGTTGGTAGCTTTTTTTTCAAACTTTTATTGTCCAGATTTTTGTCCCTTTGCTCAAGCGAAGCTTCTTGCGCTCGAGCGGTCTTTGTGAACCTCCAGTACTTTTGCAGGTCTGCAAAAAATACTGAGAGTTTGTATTCTTAGCTCGAGCGACGACCTCTGTCTATAAAACTACTAGGAGTTTGTATTCTGTGCTCGAACAGAACAACTTATTGTGTCTGGTCGCTCGAGCGACACATCTTGTGCTCGAGCGAACTGTGTATCTATCAGTTCGTGAAATCACTTTTTTTGAGTCACTTTTTCACCTCTCTCTGTCTCTCTAAACATTTCAAAAACCTATTTTCTCTCACTCTTTCTCTAAAACTCACCTATTCCCCTCATATACACCTAGATCCATTAATCTTTGTCGTCGTGTGCCTTTGTTAAAAAGATAGAGCTCGGTGAGGGTTTCGTTCTGACTGAAGCAAAGTTGGTTTTTGGCGTCTTTGGGTTTCTCTCTATCTCTCTCTCTCTCATGTTCTAGCTTGAGGTAGGGATATCTCTACTCTTTTTATGAGTTTTACCTTAGTTATTTGTTATTTCTAAGCAATGTTGAGATTTTCGAAAGACTTGGAACAATCTAGGGTTTTGGGTAAAAATTAAAAG